CAAGGCAGGCCTGCCAACAAAGCCCACCCCTCTCCATGACACCACGGTGCCCTCAGGACTCACAGGGCTCCCTGAGGTGTCCGTCATCTTGGAACTTCGCCTGACCGCTCCGCAGCGGACAATTTCGTCCGAGCCATGGGACTAGGCTTGGTGTCCCCCCACCTCCGCTCAGCAACACCAGCTTCCCTCTCGCCTCTGGACCCCGTTCATCCTTCCCCGTCACACGGGAGGCCGCCTCTCTCGGGGGCTCCCTGGTGGTCCCTCTGTTCCCCGAGGCTGCGGATGCCCAAACTGTACTGCTTGTGACCATCACCCTAAGACATTTCCCTGGGAGAGCTGGCTCTTCCCCTTCACCCTGTAAGGTTTTCTCTATGACTCCAAACAATTCTAAAATAATTCACCCACAAAATAAACAATTCTGATTTTCCCGGGAAGTCAGAAACAGGGTGTTTTTCCCCCCCGTTTGCTGTTTTTGTTATATTTCTGGTTCTCCTGGCAGGGGAACAAGGGCAGACACGCGATCCTGGGCTCAGACACCTTCTCCTAGAGGTTTTCAGGGGTCCTGGCATTGTGGCAACTGCGGTCACTGCAGCCAGACCTAGGGGTTCTTGGGAAGTGACCTCAGCCTGAGACAATTGCTGGGAGGTGTCGTTAGGAACAACCCGTGTGGGTAAAGAGGACACCCGGGTCACCTGGCCCTCTACTTTCACAGGTGGGGCAACTGGCCTGACAGGAAGAATGTCTCCTCATCCAGACATGTCCCCACGCTAATCCCCAGAATGGGGGGGGGTGTCACTTTATATGGCAAAAGGGACTTTGCAGATGTGATTAAGCTGAGCATCTTTAGATGAGGCGCTCATCCCGACTTGCCCTGGGGGCCCAAGGAAATCTCAAGGGTCCTTGTAAGAGGGAGACAGGCGGGTCAGCGTCAGAGAGGAGCAGTGTCCATGGCAACGGAGGCCGGAGCGATGCAGGGCCCGAGGCCCCAAGCAGGTGTGCGCTGCACTAGGAAACAGAGGGAGGGGGCGGAGGCCACACCTGCCCATTGTGTCAGGCCACACACAGAAGCAAAACAAGAAATAAAAAATTGTATGCCGTTCTGGAAAAGGCCAAACTATAGAGACAGCGGGAAGGTTAGTGTTTACCAGGGAGGGGTTCCGGGGGGGTAGGGTGGGAGGTGAGGGGAAGGGAGAGGCGGGGCACAGGACATTTTTGGGGCCGTGAAATTATTCTGTGCAATCCCGGGACGGTGATACACGACAGTATCCGTTGGTCAAAACCCACAGAACATATGTCGCAAAGAGTGAACATAATATAAACTCAGGGCTTTAGTTAAATGTATCAATACTGGCTCATCCACTGTAACCGAGGGGCCATGATAATGTAAGATGGCAATAATAATAGGGGGTCCTTGGGGGAGCAGCATGGAGGGGAGATACCAGAACTCTGAACTCTCTGCTTGATTTTCCATAAACCTAACACTTCTCTAAAAAATGAAGTCTGCTCATTGTGAATGAAATAAAATCACCATCAGCACTTAGATGCATATCCGTCCAGTCATTTTTCTACGGGACTCACCTCTGTCTCCTGGCCGCTGGGGCTCCGGCCTCTGCCTCCCGCCTGATGGAGGCCATCAAGGTACCGCCAGCCCGAAGGTGGCACGGCCTTCCAAGGTTCTGGGACAGCAGGAACTGGCTGGCTGAAAGGGCTTAACCCTTCAGGTAACGCGGTCACCTGGCAAGCGGTCACCTTCGGCTAACAGTGGTACTGGCCTCCCCAGAACAAATCCCCAGCTGGGTGTTTGGGGCTGTCCTGGATGGGCAGGAAGCTAGGCTCACTGTCCCCTGTTATCCAGCAGTAAGGTCACCCTCTGAGTGACAGGATGAACGTGACATTTCCAGAAAGAGCCAGGGTCGGGGACGGAACAGCAGGACCTGGGAGCAGGCTCTCTGGGAGCAAACAGGGCAGAGCCTCAGGTCGTGTGTGCGGTACCCTCTCCTCCGGAACGCCAGGCCACCGCGCCTGCCTGTAAACGCCGACACTTGGCCCTGGACACAAGCCATTGGGAGAAAGGTGACACCCGGGGACTCAACTCCAATTAAGAGACAAATTAAAAATGCAGTCGCCTGGGGCACAGGGGACTTGTACAGACCTGTCAAAGGCAGGGGTGAGACCTCAGTCAACCTCTGCCAGGAACAAGAATCTCTGGGGTATAATTGCAACATGGCCACTCAGCTGGTGGCCGAACGTGGGACGCTAATCACAGCAAGAGGGGGATGCTGTCGCCAGTCAGACATTTACCAGGAGTGCTGTGCAGAACTGGACAGGTGTGGGCACAGAGGTCCTCTCTGTCTGACAGCGGGCCCCCCGTCTGGGGTGGGACGGGGCAAAATGCATCCAGAGGTTTAAAATACACAGAAATGTTCACCCTGAGCTTCCCCGTCAGAAAACCCACCCCGAGGGAACCGGCAGGGGCTTCCGGCAGCTTCACATGTGTGATGGTGCTCAGTTTAGTGTTGTTTGTGGACAAAACATAAAAGGCAACACCTCCATGTCCATCAACAGGAGACAGGTCCGATGGATCAGTGGATACAAGGACCTGAAACCGGGCCATTGAAAGTTAAATTTTTAAAGAACTGCAGAGACAGGGAACTCCACAGCTCCATAACAGACACCAGATCAGCAGTAAGAGGTACAATGTAGCATCAATTTCTTCAAAAACATATACGTGCACAAGAATAAAACCTAATTAAACATGAAAACTCTTCAATACTGGTGGGATTCTGGGTCGTTTTCTTTCTTTTTCTTTTTAGTTTTCCTTTCTTTGTGAGATTTTCCTACAGTTCCCAAGGCTGTGCGGAACCTGTTATTCTATACCCAGGAGCATAAAACTGCTTTTGTTTTTTAAAGTGAGAAAGATTTGCGCATTTGGGAGAGAAACCAGAGTATTGCTTTCGTTTTTAAAGAAAAAGAAACAGGGTCACCTGGAGTCACCGGGAGAAAGGGCTCATGTGACCTCCAGACAGGCGTTAGCATTTGTCCCTCTGCCTGAACTGCTGTTTATTTTGTCAGCGTGACAATGAGTCCCACTCCTCAGACCAAACCAGGCTCTCAAGCCTCTGCCGTCAGAAAAGGGAAGTGTGGGTAGAAGGAGCCCGGGCAGGGACCCCCAGGGAGCTGTGAGTCAGAGCCTGGCAGGCAGGTGGGGTGAGCGATGTCACTGGTGAGCACCCTGGGAGGTTCCCAGCCAGTAGGAGAAACGGCATTTTACATTCATACCACTCTTTCCTCTCCCCTGCTTTATCTGGTTTTAATCCTGAAAATCACCAGGTCAGATGATTACACGGCATTCCACGTCCCAGTTTCACAAGGAGGAAGACAAGACTCAGGAAAAAGTTAAGCGACCCACCCAGAGTCACCCAGTTTTAAGGCAGGACGAAAGCCTGTGTCTTGAGACTCCAAATCAAGGGCCCTGTTGAGACCTCAGAGGCCAGCAAAATACTTCCGAGATGAGAAAAGAGAGGCTGGCAGGAGAGGTGGCCTGTTCAAGGTCACAGCTGAACTGAGGCTGAAACCCACAGACCCTGACCTTGTAACACCTAGCCCGCCCCCACCCCCGTGCATGACACTGAAAGCCAATTATTTTAGCCCAGAGGACAGTGGGGGGTGGTGATGCCAATGCCACTGAGAAGCAGGGGCAGGAGCCATCAACCAGGGCACACCCCTATCCCGCAGCTTTCACTGGGACATGCCTGTCTCCAGGGCAGCTCCTGGTGGGGAAGGTCTGGGGAGCCAGGCTGCTGAGTGAAAGCAAAGTCCGAAGCTGGGGGACTCTGCACCTTGCAGGTCAGGTCTCTGGAGGACTTGTTCACGTGTGAGAGCAGCCTGCCTGGGCTTACAGTACAGTGGAGGGTCCCGCGTCTGCTGGGGAGTGATCAGCCCTGCCTGGGGCATGTGCTTAGTAGCCAAGGAGGGAACGAAGGAGCGAGCACAGGAATCCAGGGCAGAGAGGAGCAGCATCCTGGATTCTCAGAACACGGAAAAGAGGATGCACAAAAGCTAACCCCCCACCTCCATCACCTTTTATAACCTGTGCCACACAGCTCTGGGTTCTCTTCTGCCGAAGCCTTGGGGACAAGCTGCATGCTGGCCAGTGGAAGGCTGGGACCCCCGTGGGTAAGGACGTTCTGCCTGCTCCCAATCTGGGGCTCGTCCCTAAAGGAAGCTGAGGTCCGCCCCTTCTCAGAACGGCCTTCCTGGAACCCCCTTAACTGCCATGTCCCTGTGTTCCCTTCTGCAGGTGGATTTGCAGGTCTGTGTCACCACCAGAAAAGTACCCAGGGAAGCCAAGGATGCACCATCCCACGTTTTTGTTCAGCAGTTTCACTTCTGGGCTGAAAAGCCACGGAACCACAAACCTTCATTGCCACCACCTGCTCTCAGCGAGCTGCCCTGACTCCCCACCAGAAACATCCTCACCCCTTCTGGGCATGTTGGGGGCCGAGAAATTGGCGCCTGCTGGGCCTCTGGAGGCCCTTGGAGAGTTCTCAGAACTGCCCTGCTGAGTCTGCAGTTTGGGGCGGAGAGAACGGGGCTAAACTCTTTCCTATGTGGAGTGAATTCCACTCACAAGGGGTTGTTCGATAACCTCCACCCACCAGTACTGGGACACAGAGGCCCACGAGATGATTTTGGTCACGGGTGTCAGAAAAATGGCCGATTCTTAACTTTGGAAAGTGAGTTGTTGGAAAAACTGGGGGAAGGGTACAGCATCGGGACCCAGAAACCCTGGAGAATCCGGGTGTGTCCCCCCCCCCCCCCCCAGCAGAGTCCCAGGAGAAGTTAGGGAAGGCTGGGATCGTGCACGCCCAGGGACCAACGAGCATCCAGGGCCGGCGCTCGTGAGCACCCGGACCTCTTCCAGGATCCACCCGAGCCCCCGGGCTCCTGGGCTGCGTGGCCTGTTGCTGTCCCTCCCGCGCTCGGCCGCACTGGCTCACCTCTGGGCAGCTTGGCCGGGTTCTCCTGGATCCAGGTGAAGAGGTGGGCAAAGTCACAGTCGCAGAGCCACGGGTTCCCGTCCAGGCGCAGGGTGCGCAGCGCCGGCAGCGCGGCCAGGGCGGCCACGCTGAGGCCGCGCAGGTCGTTGTCGTTGAGCTCCAGCACTTGCAGCGACTCCAGGGTCTCGAAGGCGGCCTCGTGCACGCCCGCCAGGCGATTGTTGGCCAGGCTCAGTCTGACCAGCCTCCCGGCCGAGCGGAAGGCGCCGGCGCCCAGCTGGGTCAGGTTGTTGTAGCTGAGGTCAAGGAAGGCGAGCTTGGCCGAGCCGCTAAAAGTGCCCTCCTCCAGCGAGCGCAGCGAGTTGTTCCTGAAGTCCAGGTAGACCAAGTCGCCGTAGAAGATGAAGAAGTCCTCGGGGATGCTCTGGATGCGGTTGCCGGCCACCAGCAGCTTGCGCACGTCCAGAGGGAAGGGGTCCGGCACGCTGGGCAGCCCGCGGTCTCGGCAGTCCACCGTGTGCGGGTCGGTGCAGGCGCAGCCCGCGGGGCACGCGCGCCCTGGCTGGAGCAGCAGCAGGAGGCTGCAGAGTCCGAGCGCGGCGGCGGCGCCCGCGGGGGCGCCGGGGGCGGTGCAGGGGCGCATGGCGGGGGATCCGCGCCAGCAGCGGAGACGCAGGCGCGGCTCTTGGGACGAGCCCGGGAGCGGGGCTGCGCGCAGGGCCCGGCGGCCCGACGCTGGGAGACTGAGGGCGGTCGAGGCGGAAAAGGCGTGCGCCCGGGCGCGCGGGGGCGACGGAGCGTAGCGCGGGAGGACTGGGGGAGCCCGAGGCGGAGGGTACGGAGCGGGGAGAGCCGGAGAGGGAGGGGCGAGGGACTCAGGAAGGATGGACCAGGACGGGAAATTAACGTGCTGTTAAATCCCAGGGGAGTGACGCGAGCCGCAAGCGCGGCCAAGTGGCGGTGGACAAACGCGGCCCCGACCCAATAGCTCTCCACCGGGACCGGATCAAAGATCTGCCCTGTGCACTCGGCCAGGAGCTCTCGACGACTCAGTTCGGTTACTGAGCGTCCCCCCTCCCCCGAACCCTGGCAATTTCTAGGGCGCCGCGCCCGGTGCCCACCCCACCCCCTCACCCCCCAGCCAGGAGCAAAAGCACGCTCCTCGTGCGCCACCCCCCTTGCCAAAGGGAGCGCAGCCCGGGTCACTGGCTCTGCGCCCAAGGTAATCCCCGTAAACTCCCGGGGCCCGCGCCCCGGGCTGTCCAGCGGGTTGGTCAGGGCGCCGGCGGGTTTCGGGTAACTCCGGGGTGGCTGGTCTTCCTCCCTCTCTCCCCCAGCCCCACCCGCATCTCAGTGAGGCAGGCGAGGTCAGCGAGGCCAGCGACTACCAGGGCGCCCGCTGTGGCCCCGAGGACGGCCGGGGCCAGTCAGCACTTTCCGTGTTGGCCTGGAGCTTGTCAGGACCTGGCAGCCGCAGGCAAGAATCTGCTGCTGGTGTAGGGAGGCCCAGCCGGCGGGCATGGTGGCCTGGAGTCCCGAGGCCTGGGTTCTACGTTGGGTGGCCTCAGTACCAGCGCCTTTGCTCCTCTAGGCCTCCTGCGCCTGATCTGTGAAATGGGAAAAAGTAATTTGTACGTCATCGGCTGTGGGAGAGGACCGCGGAGTCAAGAAACCAAATAATAAAAAGATCTCTTCCCTCTTCACTTTCACTCCCTCCCCCACCAAACTCCTGGCTTAGGTCCCCAAGGGTTAGGGAGGTGTCCAGGCAGAGGGACAGCAAGGCACAGTCACTTTAGCTTCAGACACGAGATTTTCCTCTTCACCTCCGCCCGACCCCAAGCCAAACTCCTCCCCACCTCCTGTTTCAGAAACTTTTATAAGAAGAGGTCCCCACAGAGCCATCAAGCTGTTGGCTATTTTGGTCCAAATACCCTGGAATTGGTAAGCTGGACCAAAATAACCCAGGGAACAGCTGCTGGGCGCCAGGCCCCCAGAAGCCCTGCCCTGGCCTCTGGCTCTGAGGCGCTTTGGTCGAGGTGCAGATTCTGAAGCCACAGAGCTAAGCCCCAGATTTTCCCCAAAGGTACAGGGAGGCTTGGTGCCTTCCGGTGGATCAGAAACCTGGGCCTCTGGGTCTAAGCCGGGGTTCCACAGAGGCTGAGTGTGCGGGAGCCGGGAGAGGGGGTGGAGCTCTACAACCACCTGCTTCCACGCCAGGCTCCGGCCGCAGGCCTCCTGAGGCTTCTGTCCTTGTCCCCCCTCTTCCAGGTCCCCAGTTTGCCTTTGTCTGAGCCAGCTGCACAGGCTCACACCCCTCTCTGCTCTCATCCCCTTGGAAAGACAGGCGCCGGAGCCATGGTGTGAATCCCCCCAGAGTGGTGAGAGTGCCCACGTGCTTACGTGTTGCACAAAGGCAGAGCCAGCACAGGCAGGCGGCAGGGTAAACAGGTCCTGCCTGCCACGACTCTCCAGGAGCACCCTAGAGAGATAGGCTACGCCCTCCACCTTTCCAGTCCGTGGCTTAGTTTCCGAGGCTGACTGCAGTGGTCGGGGAGCCTTCAGCATTTTGGCTCCAGGCCACCCGTGTTCCATTGGGCTGCCGTCTTGCATAAGTGTGCCTGAGTGTCTGAGGGTGCGTTGCCCTGTGCAGCGGGCTGCTTGGCTGGAGCCCAGGCCTTGGGACTCAGGCCCCTGAACCTGGTCCTGGCCCCACCACTAGCCACAGTGCCTTTCCCGGGCCACTGGACCTCTCTGGGGAATACTTCCCAGCCTGGGGTCCATGGGCCCCTGGAAGATAAACTCTTTTCAGGATTAAAAAAAAATCCAGTGAAAACCAGGCTTTTAGGAGGAAGTCACCCAGAGTAAATGCTGCCATTCTGGAGAGCGGACTCCGGGGCAGCCCTAGTTCTGTGCTGAGCAGGCACTGGCACTCATGGGAGACTTTGGAGAATGAAAACAGCTGAGTTTCTACTTAGCAAATGCAGGGCATTTACTTAGCAAGAGCTTGCAAACAGGGGGCACGTGGTAGTAAAATAATAAAAGGAGCCCCGGGTAATAAAAATGCGGAGAAGTACCACTCTTGGCCTTGATGGCCTCGTCTTGAAACTGGAGAGAAAATACGTCCAGTCTCCCCTTCTACAGATGGCAAGAGGCCCATGTGGGGGCACAGGGCTATGGAACGGAGGTGAAAAACAATCGGATCACTCAGTCTTCTCGAAGGGGCCATGCACCTCCCTATAGCAGCAACTCCTTGCTTCTTGCTTTGAGTGTCCCCCAGAGCCCTTTGAAGTCAAAGTTAAGCATTTTTCTAATTAATGTCAGCAGGATCAGACACGGCCAATTCCTGGGGAGCAGGGAGGCCCCCCATCTCCCAGGATTCCCAACCCTTGGGAAAACACAAGCTTGGCCACCTCAGATTCTCCCCCAGCAAGGAGCGCACTGCCGTGACCTCAGCAAGGTCGCACGGGCAAGCTGTTGACAGCTGCTGGAAATAGAACACAGCCATCCCAACACCCCAGCGGCCCCCCTCGCCCTGCTCCCTCCCCGGGAAGGGGGGGCTCTTACCAGGCCTGACAGGAAATGTTGCAGGTGACCAGACTGGCTCATCAGCTCCACACTTGATCTTGGCCAAAAGGCCGAGAAGCGATAATCATCAGCTCTGTTTCTGTATTTATTCTCAGAATCAACACAGATTGAGATTCTTATTCCAGAGGCTCAGAGCATGGGTGTGGCCTGATACTTTCAAAGCTGACATCACGCCTTCCCTTCCAGGGCTGGCCAAGCTGGATTCTGCCCCCCACCGCCGTGCACTCCCCGAGCTCCGCAGCGCTTCCTGTCTTGTTGTAGAGGCAGCCCACGTCTGACTCCCCGTGAGGACTTGGGGAGTTATGTGGACAGTGGCCTGGCTCTGTAAACAAACACAATCCGGTTGTAAGATTCTCTTCTTTGGTTGCCAGATCAACCTCTAAATTAGCCAAAATCCTAGGACCTACATTACGAACAAGGGGATGCCAGTATGGTACATGCAGGAGTCTGAATTTAGATGCAGACACTTGAATGATAAAAGGGTGGCTGGTGCTTGGTGATGTCATTTGGGTTACCAGTGGGTGTCACCATATTGAGCCCCTGGTTGACCTAGGTAGGAGGCATGAGGACACCCCGCAAGCCCCAGGAAAGGATGTGCACTCTGGCCCTTTGCCAGAAAAGGAGGGGCTGCTGGGCTTGAGAGACCTGGCTCTCCACAGACAGCTGTGTTTCTGTCCCTCACCCCTTGACTGGACGACCCCGCCCTCGCGTTCCCACCCACGGCTCTTCCTCACCACCACCGCCAGGGGGCCCCCTCTGCTGTCTGCACCCGTGACAGCTGAATCCTGACTCTCAGCGGGTCTCCTCCACGCTAGGCTGTGGGGTGGTGAGAGCCCCGGGGAAGCGCACTTCCGCCCTGCTCGTCTCTGGCAAGCCTGCGCCACTCTTTAGAAGAGGAGCTCCTGCCCTTAGTTCCATTCCTGAAACCAGGAGCTGAATCTTCAACCGGCCTAAACGGGAGGCAGGACGGTGCTAGTGGTTGAGAACTTGGGCTTGGAGTCAGGCCCCAGGTCAGATCCGGGCCCTCCCGTTCCCTCTCAGCCTCAGTTTCCCCATCTGCGAAGTGGGACACACTCGAGCCTCCACCGCTGTTTTCGGGAGGGGTAAGTGAGCTGTTGTCTATCAAGGGCTTGGCAGTGGGACTGACTCAGTGCATGGTGGCCACAGAGTTATAAATCCTTTATCTCTTCACCTGTAAGCGGGTCAACATTTCATGGTGGTGGCATTCTTCAGGTGAAGAATGTGTCTGTCTCGCTGGAATTTATTTGTTAGGGATGCCCTAACATGCGAGGGCCAGTTTTAGTAAATCTCCCTGCTGCCCTGAGCCGACCCATTTGAGACAAGGAAGAAAGACATGGACACGCCCCTTAACCCTTCCCGGACTCTGGTTATTGGTAGGTGGCCTCTGCCCCGCCCCTGCCACGCCCCCAGCCTGATTGGTCTTGGTGTGGGCAGACCAATGAGGCTGAGGACATGGGGTCAGTCCCTCAGCCTGGCGCCCGGAGAGATCTGTTCTCTGCTCACGCTGGTGCTCCGCATGCTGGCCAGCCATCCAGCAAATGTGTGACCTTGGGGAGGGCAGGGATAGTGCCGCCCTGTCTCTCCCCGGAGAAGAACATCTCAGAGCACACATCCCGAGAGTCAAAGTCACGGTCATTCCCCAGGCAGGGGGCACGTGTCACAGCCAGCTCAGGAATCATTGGTTTCCCCCTCGGCTCTCCCTCTCGGCCCCTCCACGGTCACCTCCTGAGTCCCCACTGCCTTCCTGCGCCTGCTCTCGCCCAACCCCCACTCACCCTCCTGATGCTTAAGAAAGCCCAAGGGATCCTCTGACAAGGTGCATCCGATCATCTCACCTCCCTGTCCGACACCTCAGGTAGATTTCTAAGGTGACCCCCCATTGGACCCCACCTGCTGGTATTCCTTTAATGGGGACACGACCCATCATGTGACCTCCTTCTAATGAATAAAATATGGCCAAAATGACACAAATGCCATTTCTGCAATTAGGTTACAAAAGGCAAGGACTCTGGTCTTGCTGTCAGACCCTCCCCCTGGGCTCTTTGGTGCATGTGCTTTGACCCCCCCCACCCCGTTCAGCCCCACTGTGGCAGGCAAGCTGCCACATGGCAGAGGCCCACATGTGGAAACCAGAGGACAGCCTCAGGTGGGCAGCCAGAGAGGGGCTGCTTCCTGACAACAGTCACATGAGCTTGGAGCGGAGCCTTCCCAGTCAAGTACTTAGATGTCTACCCCCGGCCAATGTCTTGCCTGCAGTCTGTGAGAGCCCCTGAGGTAGAGGACCCAGAGGAGGCCTGCCCCGATTCCTGACCCACAGGGACTGCGAGATCCAAAATGAGTTTTGTTTCAGACTGCTAATTTCTGGACCACTTGTTACACAGCAATAGCTAGCTAATGCACGGCAGCACTTCACATAACATCCCAGCAGACCCTGAGTGGTTTGGCCCCACATGCCCCTCC